GGGGGTGGGGGGGGGTGTGAATAAATGTAGAGAGTTTGATTTCTTTCTTATTCTTCTTGTTCAGTTGTCAGGCCGGAGCTGACATTGACGACCACGGTACCCTATTACTTCCTGCTGTCAGTCTTCTTCATCAGCTCAGATGATTTTATTGTGTTATTTGTCATAAGACTGTTCAAGCCATCTGAGTATGTTGCTGTCTATCTTCTTCTGCCCTTCTTTGCCTCTATCTTTCTACATGGTACCAATTTCTGAAGTCCTTTGTTCTTTCTATGTGGCCAAAGAATCACAATCGTCTTTTCCTGTTTGTTTTTTTAAGTTTTCATTATTATACTGCTGCTTTGACTTTTCATTTTATGAACATTATTGTCACTTGTTGTTTTGCTGGAGGTACTTGTATTGTTATTGCAGTGGCCATGGTTGTTGTCAATTAAAAATGATACGTTACCTTGATCTCTCCCCGTTTCCCATCTGTTTAGGTTCTCTAAGTAGGTTGATCTGGGTCTACCCCTGCCTCGTTTGCTTTCAATTTTGCGAGTGAGAGCTAGATGTTCAACATCTTTATGTTTATTCATGTGTCCCCAAAACTGCATTTGTCTTTTCCCTGATTGTTTTTAATAGTTAGCGTCCCACGTGGGCTTCATCAAGTACTATCTCATTTGATTATAACATTGTTGTTAACCAAAAGGACACCTGAACAATCAGCAGGTGGATTCTGAGGTGGATATTGGAGTGGGGAGTGGTGCACGTATGGCAATGCCCGGAGTGCTAGTATGTTGTTCCCAAGATGTAGTAATCAAATAATCCAGTTTTTGTTTTTTTCCACGATTTTCTCAGCAGGAAATAAAGTTACATTTTTTTATTTCGTTTTATTTGGTGACGTAATGAAATCTCATCATTTTAATTGTTTTTCAAAAACGTCACTAACAATACTGAGAGAAAATTCAACATGGCTGAACGACTCAGCTACAAAGGACATCTGCTTGTAGCACAACGTGTTTTCAACATCGAATACACATTCAACAACGTAATCTGACTTTGAGACTAAAATAAGGTCGTTGCAATTTGTTGTTTGTATAGGATCTAATCTAGATACGTAAAGATGACATTTTGTTGCCCCGGGTGGCTGAATGGTCTGGGAGGCTAAGACTCATTCAATAATTCAATAATTTTTGAATAATAGTGTCACGGTCAAGCATTATTTGGCCGACTATTACTCTTGCTTTACTTAGTCGTCAATCTCTACCTTACAATTACAAAGTTCTATCTGGCATGTTTTGGCCGTTTTGGTTTACTTTCAGGCCATGAGGTCAGAAACCAAAATGTTCGTTCAGCTCTATCGTAAGATTTTTTTTCGGAAACGCTATCAATTCAAAAAATGGCATTTTAAAAAAGCTTGACATGTCATGTTGTGAAATTCAAAATTTTTAACATCAAATTTTTCAAAACCAGGTACTGAGCAGATAAAACTCTATAATTCTAGTGTAGAGCACAGGGGAAGACCCATAACCAAGACTTGATAACCAGAGCTCGGGAAATTTGTTTTAGTAAGCGTTTTACGGCACTTGCAACACAATTAAGTCATTTCAGTGTCGCAGATTATAGGTGTTACTAGAGAGTAACAAACACAAAACTGAAGGAGAGATAAGGAAGATAGGAGTTCTGTAGGAAAGAAGAAACCAATCACACCAGAGCACTCGCCTACCACTCACGAACTCAGGAAAATGAGCTGCAGTGCAGAGGCGAACAGCAATGGCATGTTTCTACGATTGTCGTCGTCTGTAAAAAAATGTCTCTGTTTTATGTCTCCATTGACACAATTTAGATAATTTGGGAGGCGGGCTTCAATAGTGTCTGTCAGAGACGGATGCAATGTCCCAGCGAAAAAAAAAAGATACTAAATAAAAAACTTTACCCCACATGGGAATCGAACTCAAGTCTTCTGTGTGCAACAGTGAAGCACCTAGCTCTGACTTACACCACAGACGCTGGTGTGATTGTTTGTAATGTTATGACAGTGTGTGTGTGTATGTGTGTGTGTGTGTGTGTGTGTGTGTGTGTGTGTGTGTGTGTGTGTGTGTGTGTGTGTGTGAAAGACAGAGAGAGAGAGAGAAGTGGGGAGAGAGAGAGAGAGAGAGAGAGAGAGAGAGAGAGAGAGAGAGAGAGAGAGAGAGAGAGAGAGAGAGAGAGAGAGAGAGAGAGAGAGGGGCTGATGTCGATGAGTTATTATAATTATACATTGTATTATGCATGTATTGAACTTTCCATTGCAACCCAAATTTCTCCAAGAAGACCAATAACAGTAGTACATTATTTTATTCGTTTAATTAATGTCCACGGTTTGGGGGGGAAATTCTTGCAACGCATTGCAGCATTACTTATATATCCGTAAGTACTGAGGCCTTTTATGCCTTCGCAGATTTTTCAAATATTACTCACTTAAGATAGAAAGGTTGGGTTTTTTTTTCATTATCCAAGCCTTGTTTGCTTTAGCAAGCGTTTTACGGCGCAAGCAATACAGTTAGGTTGGAAAGTGCCGAATATAATAGGTGTTACAAGGAGTAACACAAAAAAGAGGAAGGAGAGATAAGGACAATATAATAATATCCGACTCTTATTTTTACGCCACTGCAGCCATCATTAGGTGCTAGACAAGCCACAAAAAAACCATCATGGGTAGCACCAGCTCATCTCTGAATGAAAACGAAACTCCCAGCAGCCCCCCGCGCAAACGAGCCCGCACTTCCTCTCCCAACCGCTCGCTGGACCAATGCAGACCCTATGAGAAAGAAACTGTGAGTCCTCGAAATGGTGATCATCTTATATAAGTTTGTTTTGTCGGAGCTATTTGGAGCTAGGTCTTGTCATTGAATTTAGTGGAACCCGCCACCCACCCCTGCCCATTCATTTATATAATAAAGAGAGGTAAGGGGTAGGGGTAGGAATAGAGGACTGGCAAAAAGGTAAGGGCCCAGGTCCGACAACAGAAAACAATCGTTATATTATTATCATAGGTAGCGATTTTGAAACAAAAGGAGAAAAAAGTGGGGGATGTTGCAAAAAGGGTCATAGAGCCTAGTGGAAAATTAACGAGACATTGACAATATATATTTTCTTGGTAAGCACAACTGAGATCTTCACCAAAGGCAGCTAAGAATTAACATGTGTATACATGTATGCGTAGCTTTGTAGAAATTCGGTTGAATGTCTAAATCGATGGACCTACTAAAAATTCGCTGATCTCATCTCCGCGCTCAATTTTTTTTTCGTAAAGCCTCTTTCTTTTCTGTTTTGTTTTGTTTTGTTTTTTGTTTTTTGTTTTTCTTTTTTTTTTGCTGGGGTTGTTTGGGCTGGGAGTGTCTCCTTTTGAATTCTGCAGTTTGCAGAGGTCGGGTGGTTGTGCCTTAAGTAGAGTTGCCGGTAAGCGATGATGGCAATGTTCAAATTGTGCGTAGATAATTCCGGAGCAGACGTTTGGTTTCATTTTAACTCAGGCCAGGAGGTTCATTGAGAAGAGCAGTATCTTAAATGCAACAAAATATGTAACTAGTTAGCAAAGTCAAATATTCAAGATACCATTAACCTTAAACCTGACAAAACGTGATTCAAAACTTTATGGGAAAACGCTTTGTCAACCTTATTCCTCAAGTCCCCAAGTGTTTGTTGTTTGTTTTTTTCTTCAAATTAAGAGAGAGAGAGAGAGAGAGAGAGAGAGAGAGAGAGAGAGAGAGAGAGAGAGAGAGAGAGAGAGAGAGAGAGAGAGATCGCCTAAATCAGACTCTTAACCTGTGCATTATATTGAGTTTTTGGAATTGAGACTGCCTTCAAAGAAGTGTGCAATTCTGTCCCTCGATATGCAGGGAAAACCGTAATTTGAAATCTTTTCCATGATTCAAACGAGAGTTCTTCAAATTATACGAGTGTTTATATCCAAGTTCCCAGTTCATTGTACAAAGCATTGGCATGAAATATGGTGAGCCTAGTAGATCCAGGATTCCGTGCAAGTTAACAGCCTACAAAGTCCAGACTCAGCAAATGTCAAAATAAAGGAAATATCACAATAAGGACGAATATGCTATTAAACACGACATGCACCCAACAGAATCCATAATTCTAATTTCGACACCTCTTCGGAGAAAACACCCTGAGCACGGTACCATCGAAAATTCCTTTAATAATAAATGCATTTGGAGGCAGCAGGGTGAAGTAAGGCGTCGTCAAAATAATGAAATACCCCCCCTCCCCTTGCATTTTCCGCCCGATTGGCAACTTTTATAGAACTTTTGTGTTTTGACTCAACGCCTTTAACTCTTTTTGAAAACACATTTCGGTGTTGATTTTACTGAAAAACGTTGATTTGAGGCACATAAACAGTAAATTTACAGTTTCCCAAGACACTTAAGCTTGGAAGTCATCAAACTTTGGTGGCCATTTTTTCGCTAATTTTACCCCAGAAAACAGGCGACCCCCATCTCCTTCAATTGCAAATATCTCGACTCTTTTCAAGATAGACTACTATGTTCTTCACAGAAAACAAGACAAATTAACAAGATTTTAAAATGACACCAATAACTCTACATGTCCAAAACCCAAAAATTGACGAGCGCCTGATTCTAAGGCGTCGTGACACATTTAGTTATATCATTTTCTGAGCCAGTTCGTTGCCTCAGTCGTCTCTTGTTTCCTCCTATAAATCCCAGAGAAGCCAGTGGCAAGTTCTGCCGTACGTAGCACTCACAGAGGTGTACGGCCATCTGCCAGGACGTGACAAGTTCAACATGGCGCTCACCTGCAAGACGTGGCGGGAGCCCTTCTCCAGGCCTGCGCTGTGGCGGCGAGCCAGCTTCCGGTTCAACGACGTGGACGACTGGAGGGCGCTGTGCTGTGTGAGTCGGGTGGCCTCCGCGCTTCGTCACGTGACAGTCGACTGTGCCGGTGAGACGGCGTTTAATTCTTTTCTTCCCAGTGTGTGTGTGTGTGTGTGTGTGTGTGTGTGTGTGTGTGTGTGTGTGTC